CTTTCCAAAAATAACCTTTATAATTTGATAGAGCAAGCATTTAACATTTCAAAAACGAAAACATCATTGAAATTACCATGTATTTTAATTAGGATAATTGCCTATATTTAAAACAGGTGTTTTTCTGTCCTAAAACAAGTTACCTTATTTTGAAAAGTGAAAGTAATAATTGATTGTTGTGTGGCCTATAAATTCGTTATTTATTGTGAATGGATGAAAGTTTGTAAACTAAGATTTAGGAAAAGTTACAGTCAAACTAAAAAAAAAAAAATTTTAAAATGCAGTAAAAGTTGCTTTACAAACAAAACAAACAGATTTTAGCTGTAATTATCAGTATCCGGCAAGGAGAAGTGTTTATTCATTACAATAAACTCAAAATCATAAAAAAATTTATTCCAAAATCTTATTAATGTGGCCTTTTTTCAGTTTTTGTCAATTAGCAATCTGAATTGTTGGAAAAAGGTCTGAATCTTTGACATTCGGGTTCTTCCTGATTATGCATAATTAAAGCTTACTTGATGTGTAAATGTCATCTTGGTATATAACAGAATTGTTATTTTTAGTCAAAACTTAATTTAATTGTGTAGTTTGAGCAGGAGAGGAATAGTTATTTTGGGTAAAAATTCAGTCCCATCACATTTTCATCAACATATTCTTTCATAAAGAATAGAAAAGGTTATGGTATTTGTAAAACTGTCAGTGGATAAAGCTTCTTTAACTACAGGTTGATTAAATTGATGGCTATACCCTAACTTTTCTGTAGCATCACATCTTATTTTTAAAATAGGGTGGTGCTTGAATTAATGCACTGGGGAGAGTGTATTCATAGAAGTATTGTAAGGTTTGTTTCTGCCTTGCCTGGGCTTTGAGCTGAACTAATAGGGGTTGTCTGTGTTTTGTTCTTTTCATCTAAAGGTTTCTGGTCATTGATCTCGGAGTACCACAAATGCTTCAGTAAATTTGGTAAAGGACCGGTTGCTCCTTTGGGAAGTTTTGTATGTAGATCAATGTGGAAAAGGGTAGACTTTTTGTCAGTGATTGGATCCTGTGTTGGTTTGTCTTCAACAAGCTTGTTGATTTGGATGGAAATGAATCCATCAATTCAAAGTAGTGTTTTATTAATTAAAATTTTCTTTGGTCTAAATATTCTGGAAGTCTTGTTTTTAATATTGGACTGAAATTTCATTACATGTTTATATTGTTCATATCAAGATTTCTTTGCATTCACAGTTGCGAAATATTTTTCTGCATTTTTTTGTTTTGTACTTTTATAATTTTTAAGCATCAAATTCATAATGTGGGTCAGAGCTTTTGCTTTAATTAAAAATCATCACACAGGGGTGGAAATAACCCATTGCCCGACGTCCGAGTCCAGTGTTTTTTTCTGTCGGGCAAGCACATTTGTATATCACGCTGTACCGGTGTCCAGTTGACATTCCAATGTTAATTATGTTGTTTATTTAAAATATCACCAAGAAAATCGGCCGGTATAGTGGGAAAATTATAAGGGCAAGTGATTTTACATGTGCCACTGTACCGGAGTACACTAGCAATTTTAAAGTTATTTCCACCCCTGATCACAGATATACCTGACTGAAGTTTGTACCTTGGAGTTATAAGCGTTGCTATGAGTGAGGTTAAAATGGAGTTAAACGTTGCCCTATGAGATACATGCTGTAGTTTAAAATGGATGCTCCACACAGATACACTACAATAACCAGTCCTTATTTTAACCCCCTCAGTGCTGAGTGTAGGCAAGGTAACAAAAAGTACCATTTTTAAGCATCTTTTGGCATGATTGGTCTTCAGCAACCCATGCTTTTCTTAAGAGGCAACTAATGGGATCGGGTGGTCGAGACACTAAACCAGTCCTTGTTTTAACCCTTCAATGCAAGGTAACAACAAGTACCATATTTTAATGTCTTTTGGCATGATGCAGCTGTATCAAATCACCAATGGTCCTCTATCAACTAGACCAAGGAGATGGTCAGTTTATATTCAGCTTTCTGTCCTTGTGGTGTTAATGTGTTTCAGATCAAACACTAATAACATGATAAGAGACACTTGTAAGAGGTGACTAATGGGATGGTTGACACCTGTCATCATATCATGTTGTTAAGTGACACAATCATAGAAGGTCAGGTGAGGTGAAATTGGGTTTAACGTCGTGCTTGAGAATTTTTCGCTCATATGACGACGTGCATGCGTGTGTATGTGTATGTGCGGCTGCTTGTACTAGCCCAGACTTAAGCTGGTTTTATAGTGCTAGCCCACTGAGATACCATGCCGCAGTGAAGCATGAATACCCCACTCAGACACATTATACTGACTCCGAGCCGACTAGTCCTTGTTGTACCCATTAATGCCATACCAACAAGTACCATATTTTAACGTCTTTTGGTATGACGCGGTCAGGGATCGAACTCAAGACCTTCATTTTACAGGAACGATTAACAATGCTCCAGGTGGTAACACCTGGGCACCACGGAGGCGGTCACAATCATAGAAACAAACACAGGAGACACATATTGACATTGAGTATTCAAGTATTTTAAGGTTATTTGCTAGATAAACCCCTATTAAAGAGGAACATTTAGTGATCTTGTAGTATTGTTCACTGCATTCTGGATAGTATATAATGGTGGCATAGTTTTGTGAAGCTTACATTTTTAAATCAAATTTTTAAAAAGTATGTTAATAATGTTGACTGGATCATTGTTTCTACTTGAATAACCAAAAAATGTCTGTAATTTCAAATGTGATTAATTATTTTATTGTAATGACATATTTCAAGTAATTTCCAGATAAAGTTTACCCTGCTACAATAGCAGAATACATGAGTGATTGTTTCTATCTCTTTGGTGCAGAGAGGCGGTGATCCTCAGGTAGCCTGCTAGTTAAAGTGTTTGCTCATCACGCCGAAGACCTGGGTTCAATTCCCCACATGGGTACAATGTGTTAAGCCCATTTCTGGTGTCCTCTGCTGTGATATTGCTGAAATATTGTCAAAAGCGGTGTAAAACTAAACTCACTCACTCACTCTGATCTTCCATTGGTTGATTTGACTGATCCATCTTTCCAAATTCAATGAGAGAACAGAAGGTCTAAGTTCAATACCCTTGCCTTGTCCTACCACATGATTGGTCAGCTCACGGTCAGTACACCATAGCTGGTTAGGAATCCATGTACCCTGTGGTATCTTGCTATCTACATATCCAATCCTGGCCAACAATCATTAATTGGTAAGATCTGGACATCTCATGTTCATGTAAATAGTTTGTTTTTCAACAATAAAAAAGAATTATTTCCCATTATGGCTTGTGTTCCGACCTCAGCATGAGTCGTCTTGGCAATGTCTTGGTGAATGGCTGACGATTCTCTTTGAAGTGAGTGACTTAAGTGTAACTGCAGTGACAGTATCTCAGTTTATGGAGAAGACTTAGATGTACAGATGTATAGTTAGTTGTTAAATCAACGTTGCAGCACAAAATTAGGCAAATCGTGGAGGAAGCAAGATAAATTATTCTTAAATTTTGTGAATTGTGGTCTCTCATTATTGGTTTTCTATGCACAGTTCATTTGTGTAGATTTACTTTCAGCAGAGCCTTTGTTTCAGGTTGTAGGAGGGCTGGAGTGTGGGCATGTTGTTCAGCCATGTTGTTCAGCCATGTCTGATCTCTTGTCATGCTCCAGTGGGTTGAACGTGTGTTGAACAAGTTTATAAAACAGGATGGTTATTTTGAACTTCTTTGAGAGGCATTTTGAAGTTGGAGCAATAAGGAAGGATAACAATATATGGATGAACAACTTCTTTGTTACAGTGAGAGTGATGTTTCGGTGTAGGTTCTAACACTGTTATCAAGTAAGTGATGAACAGAATGTGGATAGAGAAGCATATATACAGGCGTGAGTTGTTTGTACTGTACAAACATGATTAGGACTGCAATGGCATAGAGTGAGTGAGTGAGTGAGTATGGGTTTAAGCCACTTTTATCAATATTCCAGCAATATCACCAGGGGTAACACCAGAAATGGGCTTCACACATTCCCATGTGGGGAATCGAACCCGGGTCTTCAGTGTGATGAGCGGACGCTTTAAGCACTAGACTACCCCACCACCCGGAATGGCATAGAGGAGCCAGTAACAATAACAACACATAGTCTAGGTTAACATGTGAAACCTGCAGCCGAAACGTCGCTCTCGCGGTTATAAAGAAGTTGTTCATCCATATATTGTTATCTTTCCTTAGGATGGTCATTGTGTGAAATATATAGCTTAACAAACTAAAGCAAAATAAGGATTTGACAACTGTTTGATCTATCAGTTGATAACAGCTATTATGAAGGTTTGCCAATAGGAAAGTCGGTACTGTGTCGACTTGCTGATGATTGATGGTGCTTGGTTTTAACCCAATGAGCAGTGTTGTAAACTCCCCATAATTTCAGCCAGATAACTGGTCTGGTAACTCTCGAAAGTTACCAGACCGGCTGGAAAGTTGCCAGTCCAGAATTTTCTGGATTAAGAAAAATAAAAAGAAGGTTACGTTAATAAGAAGAGGGAACTGTTTAATGTCAGGTTATTGTCACAATAACACACGTTTTCAAATGTTTTTCATTCAAGGCTTTAGTCATTATATACATTACAAAATTACACTGATTTAACAGCCAGACCATCGGGCGTGCAACTTTTTAAAACTGACCATCTGGTCGCAAAACAGACCGTCCCGGACGGTCGGGCAGGCAGGAGTTTGCAACGCTGCTATGAGAAATCAGCGGATATAGCATTGACAGCTACAGTGTGTGTCAAGTTTGTGTGGAGCATTGAAGGACACACGTAGAGTACGAACTTCTCATTCAAGTGACTTCACCAGAACCCTGTTCAATTGAAATGGATTCTTCTCTTGGATGACTTCCTCACATCATTCCGAGTTTTTCTTAAGTTTGTTAAGTGTTGATTATGTGATTTATGGTCGATTTTAACAATGGCTATGTTATTACAGGTGTTCGTCGGTCAAGCCTAGCCTCAACATGGAGTCGCGACTCGGGGTTGTCGCACCGGCGGCTCAAGCCGATATCGTCGTTGAGCATCAACGACATGGCCTGCGAGGCCAAGGTGCAGCCCCTCCCCAGCCCCGGCCTCCTCAGCACCCACTCCATGTGGTCCACCAGCGACCTCTTCAGTCGACCATCCAGCAGGCAACAGGACCCCGAAGTTGTCTCCAAGTAAGAACATTCAGTATTAGGGGCGGGTATTGCAGAGAATTTTCATATTGCGATATATTGCGATGCGAAAACATGTATTGCGATATGTATTGCAATATATTGCATGAAATATTTTAAACAAAAACTACTTATAATCGAGGTAATGCTTGATTTATAGAGCAAATACACAGCAAAATCACTATGCTTGATTAAGCTTTAATAACAACTTTTATTCATGATTAAAAATAAAAATGTGAATAATATTTGGCACAAATGAAAAAAGGAAATATCCGAAGATTTCCGAGTGTTATGAAGTTTTCTGAATGCAAGTCAAAATACCAGTTTTCGATCAGCATATCGCAATACATATCGTTTTCATGTCTGAACCGGTAAATACCAGTAAACCAGTTATATTACGCAGCCCTATTCAGTATTCAGAATTACCATTACAGTGCGATGACAGGCTGCAGTGGGATCAGTGGTCAGGCTCTCTTACTTAGTTGATGGATGAACTAATCTCATGATGTCAATCACTCAATTATTTAGAGGTCACAGTCATATCACTGAAGTACAGCTGAGTGTGTCATTAACCAACAAATTAGGCTGTGACAAAGCCAATTTATCAGTTTTAGGAGATACTATGGTTTTAGATATTTGAATAACAAACTTCAAAGAATCATCAAACTTATATTACAAATTGATATATGTTCATGTTTAAATATATTGTCTCAGACTCTACTGTCGTAAAGTGAACAATGTTTTCTGTACAACTATGTCTACTCTCATCCTTTGAAGACTATTTCCAGTACAACATCTCTCCACTCATAATTTGAAGAATACCTCTACTGCTGTAATCTGAAGAATGTGTTTTGGCATACTACTGTCTCTACTGCTATAATAGGAAGAAGATTTCCAATACAATTATTTTTAGTCTGATACTTTAGAGAATGTGTCCCACACAACTTTCTCAGCTCTTATACTTTACAACTATCTCTACGCCCAAACTTTTAAATAACAAACTTCAAAGAAATATCAAACTTTGAAATATTTTACAAACTGACATATGTTCATATTTATATATTGTCACAGACTCTACTCTCATAACTTGAACAATGTTTTCTATACAACTATCACTACTCTCATACCTTGAAGACTATTTCCAAGATTGTGTCCCACACAACTTTCTCATCTCTTATACTTTAAAAGTGTTTCCCTTACAACTATCTCTACCCTCAAACTTAGGGTAATGTTTCCTTCTATAACTCCCTTTACTCATACTTTCTAGAATTTTTCCAATACATTTTCGTCTACTCTTAAACTTTGTAGGAATGTTTCCAATTCTGTCTCTGCTACCAGTGTGAGCATCATTTCCCTTACAAGTGTCTCAGCTATCATACTTGGACCTGATCAAGGCATAGAGATAATATTATCATTTAGAGTGGACTCCGGATGCTAGAGGAGTTTCCAAAACATCACTCCACTGAATATCAGGAGAACATGTAAATACATACCGCAAGACAGTCATTGGGGACGGGACGTGAAGTCAGAGTTATCTGTCATAGAAAATAGTTTCTCATGCAAGGAATGCTGTTATATAGCAATAAAAATATCTTGATACAAGCACCCTAAGAAATTGTTGCAGTGAAGTTTATTAAACATTGCTGAAAGATCAGCCCATGTATCCATGCAGTATTAGATACAGGCATACAGAAGAATAGTTATATGTGATGAATAACCTCAGGGAGAATTAGAGACCCAGTGGATCCAAAGGGGTGCAGGGTGCAGACTAGTCTGTTTCACAGTCCCTGAACCTGCTGTTGATCACTTGATTGTCTGGTCCAGACTTCTGCCTAGGACCCATGAAGATCCGGGTTAGAATTGGTCTTCATCAACCCATACTTGTCATCAGAGGCGACTAACAAATCAGGTGGTCAGACTCACTGACTTGGTTTTTACAGGTCAACGTATCCCAATTGTGTAGATCGGTGCTCATGCTGTTGATCACAGGATTGTCTGGTCCAGGATTATTTACAGACAGCATATTGCTGAGTGTGGCATTAAACAACAAGCCAACCTTCTGCCCAGCCCTTTCTGCAATAAAGAACGAAATAAAATCTAGATTTCATCAGGTTCAGGCTCTGAACCTTCCTTCTCACTGGGGCGGTGGGGTAGCCTCGGGTGGTTGAGGCTTTCCCCACATAGGTACAATGTGTGCCGCCCATTTGTGGTGTGCCCTGCCGTGATATTGGTGGAATATTGCTAAAAGTGACATAAAGCCATAGTCACCCACTCCTCATCACTGCGGCTCCTTTTCAATATAAAGGAGTTGTTTGTTTCTATCAAAATTATGTATATTCAGAGACAAAGTGTTTAATTATGGATATTCAGAGACCTTTTTTAGTGCATCAGGCATGTTACATGTTAACTGTACACTGTGACGTATCATTTCTCCCACTCCCAATGAGGGACGGTGGGGTAGCCCAGTGGTTAAAGCGTTCGGTCATCACGCCAAAGACCCTGGTTCGATTCCCTACATGGGTAAAATGTGTGAAGCCCATTTCTGGTGTCCCCCGGCAGTGATGTTGCTGGAATATTGCTAAAAGCAGCGTAAAACTATACTCACTCACTCACACACTCACTCCCAACAAACCGTCCAGCCGACCTCATATTCTGTTTCAAAATACTACATTCACTCCTGAGACCAACAGAGGTCCTGTACCTCACTTATCTTTGAAGATACTTGTCTTGGAAATGACAGGGCAGTGTCTATGAATATAAACATGAAAAAGAGGAAGCAGTGTTGCTTCTGTAGAGAGGTTCTGGCATAAAACAAAACAATTTCGGTGTGACTTTGCCAATGAATACTGGCTTATGAATAAATGTCGAATGTATGGAATAGAAGTGTATGATTTCATAACAGTCGAAGTGGGGAGTGTATCTAAACTTTGATATCACGATTTAATGGAGAACCAGTGTTGTGTGGGATGAGGTGTCGGTGAAGGTCATGTTGCTGATGTAAAGTTGGGGTCAGCGGTGATGTTGTAGTCTGGTCAGTGTTGTACGATGGACTCTGATGGACAGACAGACAGAAGACAGGATGTGGATGATGTCTCTCTGTGAGTAGGTGTTAATCCCATGTGTTTCACGGTTTCAGCCGATGCAGTATGGGCGTAGGACTATGAACAAATAGTGGCTAATACACACTAGAAGGGGTTACCAGAACTAACATGCCTTTGGTAAATAATTAAGCATGAGTCAGGATAAGTATAAAATATCAATTTTAATCAAAAAGTTACATATTGTATGAGCCTGTAGATAAGCAGGGGCAGATACAGCTTTTTGAGAAAGGGGGGTGCACAGTTCATTTTCACCCATTTTCAAAAGAGTTTCAATGGTCATTTAGTAAACTTTCACGACAAAAAGGGGGTGCATACTTCTGCAACCCCCATCTGGATCCGCCTATGTTAAGCCTAATTTTGAGGAGCAGAAAGAGTATTCTGTAGAAATGGGTCGGCATATGTAAATGTTACACTTTCATCAAAACAATTTCTTGTGATAAACAAATGACATTCATTGAATGAAGAAGAAAAAATCACATTTTTATAATGTGTCATCGATAGAAATATTGTTTTATGGTTACTTGATGGCTTTAAATGTAAATCTGTGATATTCTAGTTATTTTACTGTCCTTTCTTGACAGGTATTTATATAATGTCTTTCAGTGGCATTTAGAAGTTGTACATTGATGTCCAAGATATTTTTATGGATTAAACTTCTTTATAATTTCCCTCACGACGTTTCGAGACCATTCCAGGTCAGTTCACCTGATGAAGGGATCTGGACTGGTCTCGAAACGTCGTGAGGGAAATTATAAAGAAGTTTAATCCATAAAAATATCTAGGTATTTATATAGTTTAAGATTGGTTTTATTAATATATAGTGAGTGAGTAAGTGAGTTTAGATTTTCGCCATTTTTAGCAATATTCCAGAAATATCACGGCGAGGAACACCAGAAATGGGCTTCACCCATGTAGGAAATCCAACCCGGGTCCCCTGCGTGACGAACAAAAGTTTTAACCTCTAGGCTACCCCCCTGCCCCTATTAATATATAGCTTTCATTGTCACGATATAAGTTCTGCTGATGTGACTCTCAGTTTTAACTCCCTCACCTGTCACTACTATATTTATATTATGATTCTTTTTATTCTTGCCCCAACTAAATGGATTGTGTGGTCAGACTCGGTGGTTGCATGTCCAAAGCGCCCCCTGCTGTAGGACATTGTTCATAATATCAATCACCTGTTTCTCTGGTTCAGATTCTGTATTTACAGACAAGGCTGGAATTATGTGACTGCTGGCAATATTCCAGCAATATGTCAGGGACACCAGAAATGGGCTTCACACATTCTAACCATGTGGGGAATCGAACCTTAGTCTTCGGCTTGACAGGTGAACGCTTTAACCACTAACCTACCCCACTGCCCCTATTATGAAAGGAAGGAAAACTTTGTTCGATTGCTATTGGTTAGATAACGCTTGACAAATGTAACAAAAGGGACATGAAATATTCACACAAAAAGCATTTAACTCAAATATAGCTTCTACTGCTTCTGCCTCAATTGACATTATGGTATGCTGGAGGTTTGGAGATTGTGTATGTTACGCTTTTCACATTCTGTTATTAATTCATGTCTTGAATTGTCAGGAATCGTAAAAAAAACATTTATGTAAGCTGGCTGCGTGGGAAATGTGTTTGTGCCTTACACAACAACTCTTGACGGGTAAAAAAAGCTTGTAGGCAGGAACAAAAAGATGAGAGATGTTACTATGTAGAGAGTTTACTGGATCACGTTATTTTGAAAAATTTGTCAGGTGGAAGGACAATGAATTTTTTAGTTCTTTCAACACCAGTCAACCAGAAACTTTTACTGCGATGACTCCAAGTTCCCAGAGACTGATAGATGAGGACTTCATTTATCAAGGAAAATGTCAGCCTGTACAACTTATTGCTATACATATC